GAATGAATCCATATCCCTTCATTTTCTGTGGGAACAAAAGCATAATATTTTCCCAAAAGCAACACGTCTTTTGACTTCCATTTTGAAGTCAAGATATTTTTTAAATATATAGGAATCTTTTCCCCAAAGCAACACATCTTTTGACTTCCATTTTGAAGTCAAGATAATTTTTAAATATATAGGATAGTTTAATCCAGTAATTTGCATAATCCAATGTCACTTAACAGCTATTGTTTGATCATCAGCAATCAAGGAATTTAAAAACAACACAATAACATATAAGATCCAGACTCCCTGTATATTTTCCATCTCTACATGGCCTGTTGTTTCTTTGTTTTATTTCTCTCTTTTAAAGACTTTATTACTTTTAAACTATTTCTCCTATGACTGTCTATATCCTTTCTCTTTTCTATCCCAAGCCTATATACATTTTTAAACACACTGTAACCCATTTAGAGGTTTTTTCCCCATCTGGATCTGTCTTTACTGCATATCTGTAAACTTTTCTATTTGCATGAGCAAAACCTGAAGCCCGACACAGGACTTAGTTCATGGCGTACTGGCGGCTCAACCCCGCAGGCAGCTGCCAGGAGACACCCCTCTGTACAAGGGCCCAAGTGAGAGACCTTGCGACTAGGAAACTGTGCTTGGCTCTATTTTTGTGTATCTGGAACTTTTTCTTAAGCTTTTATCAGTTTTATGTGAATATACGTGGCCTTGCCCCATGTTGGAATGCCATTGGTAGGCGGAGTCTTTCGTTGGACTGCAGGCTCCCAAATAACCACACAGAGACTTACTATTAACTAAGAATGCTCAGCTGATAGCTTAGGCTTGTCACTAACTAGCTCTTACATCTTAAATTAATCCATATTTATTATCTACATTCTACCATGTGGTGGTACCTTTTCTCAGCAGGGCATGTTCATATCCTGCTTCCTTTATGTCTGGCTGGTGACTACCGTGAGAAAATCTGTTTGAATTCTTTTCAGTAAAATTGGAAATGCTTTGATTCACAAAACTCAAGGAAAACTTGGACATAACTGGAGAAGGTCATTGGTGTGAAGAGCATCACAAACCACTGGAACTAGCTATCTCAACTCTCTGTCTACATTTGTAAATTTTTTCCTCTCTCTCTTCCTCCCTCTCTCTATCACTGTCTTTCCTGTCTTCTTCTCTTAGGGCAGACCAAAGCCCATTCATTCCTAAGTAGGAACTACAGAGATCAACAGGCCCCCAGCCTCATATTTCTCAGCTCTAACCATAAGAAACTACCTTTACCAGGCGGTGGTGGTGCACGCCTTTAATTCCAGCACTCCAGAGGCAAAGGCAGGTGGATCTCTGTGAATTCTCAGCCAGCCTCATCTACAGAGTGAGTTCCAGGACAGCCAGCACTACACAGAGAAACCCTGTCTGGGAAAACGAGAGAGAGACGGGGGGGGGGGGGGGGGGAGACTACCTTTGTTTCTCCCTCATTTCCAGCTGCAGCAACAATTCTAGTATGACTTTGGCTTCTTACGAGTCAGCTACCCACTGCAGAGCAAACAAATGCAGTTGAGTGTGTGACAGGAACCTCTATGAGAATACTATGGCTTTATGGGTCAAATGTGGAGGTGCTGCCTACTCTGCCACCCCATCCAGCAGCTTCCTGAGGATTGGCTTTGACAGCCATCTCTCCTGCTTTTCCAAGATCCTCCCCAGCCCTCTCCTTTTTTCCAAAGCCTTCAACCTGACAGGCAGCACAGCTGGACAAAGATGTTGCCCTCTCCAGAATGCTGAGGAGCCTCTAAACAGCTCTACAAAGAAGTAACCAAAAAGTACCCAGCTGGGGACTAGGGGTCCTTCAGTGCCATCAGGAGGATAGGAGAGGTCAGAGGCAGCAGAGCAGATGTTCCAGCTAATCCTGGGCCAGCCCCAGAAATCTCTCCCATGAGAGATTCCAGATGAAGACCTGAGGAGAAAAGCTGGAGTGAAGGAAGCCAACAGTGATTAGCCTTGGAGAAGAATGAACTGGTCTATAGTCGGCTGGAGATGGCATCAGGATTAGTCCCCAAGAGCTGTCCAGGTCTTCAGTACAAGAACAAGGCTCTAAAACTGTCTCTGGCTTCTCTCTGCACTGCACCTGTCCTCATGACCCTGGGAGGAATAGCAGACCAACACTCTCCCTCCCAATACAGCAAGGTCATTTAGAGGGCATTCCCACATGCAGTAGTTGATGGTAGGTTATAGCATAGCCTTGTGCGTTTGGTGGGCCAGTTTCCTGTAAGCTGCTTCTACAAATGAACAACCGGCCATGTTTAATGACTTGCCCAAGGGCACATGGCTCTTAGTAGCCTCCTGAATGCCCTATTCAGGGCTCACACAGCTGAGTTACACTCTGTGGGACTGATTCCAGGACCCCATTAATGGATGCTGCTTTTATGGAGGCTCCAGGGCATGAATGTCACCACCCAGGGCTTTGGTTCTGTAGCAAGGTACAGCCTGTCCTCAGCATTTCAGTGTGTGAATTTTAGAAATCATAGAGCCATAATAAAGTCAAGAGCTTACAGATACCCTGGGGCTTGTCCAGACAGTTCCTTCTTTTCAGATGAGGACACTGTTGGGGGGTGGCGGGGGGGGGGCCTCCAATGGACATCGTTCAGAATTGTTCAGAAACGTGAAGTAAGAAAAATGGCAAAATTGGGAGCGGGGCAAAAAAAAGCTGCTCTGTGGAACAAAACAGGCAGGAATTAGAGCTTTCCTTCACGCTGTTGCTGTGGGGTCAGGCTCACGATGAACGCAAAGGCGGCAGAGGGAACACATGGACAGTTTTTACTTATTGAAACCTCTTATCCCAAATTCTAGACAAATGTCCACGGAGAGGGAAGGGATAGACTCCAGAAAGAGCCATCACAGTGTCTTCAGGAACGGCAAGGTTATGGAGGACACTACAAGGGGCGGTGGCCATGGGTCACCCACGGCTGTCTGTCCACAGGAGCTGCTCGCTTGTGAGTCCCACCAGGTAATGAGGACAGTTTTGATGGGTGGATGGGAGGATAGTTTGACTGGAGGCATGCTTTAAAGAGCCACAACTCTGGGGGGGGGGCAGGTCATGGTTAATTTTGAACAGTCGTACTGGCCACACTTTTTTTTTTTACAGTGCCCCGTAGACTTCCCAGCATGTGTAAGACAAGACTCTGAATAGAAAAGCACAAATGACTACTCTATGATGAACCAAGCTACCACAGTTTTCCATGCTATCTTAACTAGAAGCTTTTGTCCAGAGAAATCCTCAGTTCAACACAGTGTGTGCTTGCGTAACATACAAGAAAATGGACGCCACGTATGCCCAAACTAGACATCGAGTAGATGTGTCTATACGTAACTTAGGTTCACTTTACCTCTCCTCTATCCCTTCGTTAGCTCCCAAGAATACAAACTAGAGAGTGTAATTCAGATTCTGACTAAGGCAAAAGAGTTCTGTGGAGAGTGAAGGCCAGGCCTTACACAAAGGCTACTAAATGAGTATATGAGAGCGACCTGTTGGCAAAAGGGCAGCTGGAGACTGCCAGGCGGAGGCCATGTGGAACTGTCCAGAGCCACTGGCACTGAACCCCAGGGTGCCTGAAGGTAACATTATAACACAAAAATGCTAATGACACATGTCATGCATGGATTTATAAAGACGACTACATGTAACAGAGCATGCACATGAAATTTCATGCTATGAAAATGACCCAAAAGCCCAAGAATGTGACACAAAAGCCCCAGTCCTTTGTACAGCCTTCACCAAGTGTCTAAGCTTTCTCTCTGCTCTCGGCCACTCTCTCTTTGGAAGTGTATTTTTTGTTCGTTTGTTTGTTTTTCGAGCCTGAGTTTCTCTGTGTAACAGCTTTGGCTGTCCTGGAACTCACTCTGTAGAGCAGGCTGGCCTTGAACTCACAGAGATCTGCCTGTCTCGGCCTCCCAAGTGCTGGGATTGGGAAGTGATTCTTAATCTTTTATTTTGCTTGCTACTTTCCACATGGACCACAAGAACCCAGAACTCCCCCTAGTGATGCTTACCATATTCTGATATCTGCGACTATCATGATTACAGGCAATATTTTAGTGCCAAGCTATAAAAGATGTATCAGAACCATCCCTCTAATTAGATGATTTTAAGAAATCAAATGGGAAGTCACTCTTAATTCTTTTCTCTAGATTAGGAAATATCTACCTGTCCAGAGCTGCAATTTATCTTGTTTAGCAACTTAAGGGAGCGGAAACACTCATTGGACAGCTAGAAACAGGAAGGTAATCACATGAGCTTTTTATGTTCTACTTGCTTTGGTCAAATGAGCCTTGAGAGGCAAAGAGGGAAGTAATAAAACTCAAGAAGCAGAGAAGACTAGATTATTCCTCAACTCACTCTTAGGGCACGTGAACATGTTATGTATTTATTCTTGGATATCTGGACTCTTTTTTAAACTACTTATTTTTGTGCATATGTGTGGGTTTGACTGTGTGAGTTTATGCGCAGGATGATTGTGGTCTCCTCATTTGTTATATGTGTAAGTGCCACAGCGTGCGTGTGGAGATCAGAGGACAACATAGGGAAGTGGGTTTTCTTCCCTTTCACCCTGTGGATTCCGGGATACGGTCAGCCTTGGCGGAAAGCGCCTTTACCCGCTGAGTCCGCTCACCAGCTAAGCAATTTCTGTTATTTAAGCAAAGCAAAGATTCGCGCCTCTCAGGATCCAAGAAGGCGCAAAGAGTCACAGAGATCTCAAGTCCAGCCTGGTGGTGTAATTTTGTAACCCAGCTGCAATTTAGATGGTTTCTAAAAATAACAATAATAATCCCTGTGCTAAAATGGTTAGCGTCTCGCTAGAACGGAAACAGCACCTAGGACAGGGTTCCCTAGAAGGCTAGGTGGAAGTGGGAGGAACGATGGGTGTCGGGGGCGGGACTTCGTCTCCTAGCAACGGCCCCAGCGATTGGCCAGCTCTCCCTCAGCCGAGACCAATGACCAGGCGCGCTGCCAACGCTCGGCTTTACGTCTGCGGCTGCGCGGGGGATTCGAATCGGCTTCGGGGTGGGTGACCAGGGGCGGCGTCTGGTTCGGCGTCGCGCCGCCGTGCGCGCTTTATCTCGTCATGGACAACCTAGAAAATGTCTTTCGGTAAGTGTGCCTCAGGGGGAGTGAGGGCGCGAGCGGCGCTGAGAGCCGGCCAGGGCGGTTGAGTCCGGGTGCCGCGGTCGGGCCTTCTCCTCAGCGGTTCCCGTGGGCCCCACCAGGGCTCGGCCCAGGCGGCGGCCCCGGGCCACACGAGCGAGCGGGGGGCTGCAGCAGGCCGCCGTCCCGTGGCGGGGTTTGGGCTGCCGCGCGGACCTTCCTTCCGACGTGGCCGGTGTCTTCTCCGCGGCGAACCGACCTCCTCCAGAGCGACGCCCCGCCTTCAAGTCCCCGAACCCTGGGTGGTGGGGTGTTTAGGAGAGAATTTCAGTCTCTTAATAAAGACGCTGGTCACCTAGGGAAAGAATTAACTATTTCTCACTTACCTGCTAGGTTTAAATAAAAAAACAAAAACAAAAAAAACTGAAGCTGAATTTTATGGGGGAAAAAAAAATGGGAGTCATTTGTTTCTACCTGCAAGCAGATTTTTTTTAAGTTCCCACACTAATTGCTTTTTTTTCTTTTCTTTTTCTTTTTTTCTTTTGTTTTATTTATTTATTTATTTATTTATTTATTTATTTATTTATTTATTTATTTACTTGCCTTACCCAGCCTGCGTTGTAAAACTTTTAAAATTATTAAATCATATTACAGGAAGTAAAATTTTATTTTTATCAGCCCTTTGGGTATCCGAAGAGTCAGGTACCCAAAACCTATTGGCGTAAAGCAATTTAATTTTTAATTATATCTACTAAATATTCTCTTTTGAAAGCCCCTCCCCATTTAAAAAAAGACACTAGGTATTCTGACTTTTAAAAGGCTAGCTTGTTTTAACGATAGATGTTTTAGTATTAAGAGACAGTGTGCGTAAGCCATTTTCCCAGGGAGTAGGGTTGGTGTGAGGCTATTGAATGTTTACCTTGGACAAATAGTTGTATTCTTATTTTGCTAAATAAGAACCTCAAAGGGCAGAAGTAGTGGTGCTGGCAATTCAGGCATGCTGAAAAGAATCCAAAAAGTGAAATTCCTTGACTTAATTTAAAAAATACTAGAACCGCTAAAATCTATACTACTTCTGTGCACAAAGTTATGAAAAAGCCATTGCTGTCTATAGTTTCTCTGAATAACCATTTCAGTATGCCAGTGAATTGTATTTGGAGGTTGATTTTCTAGTCATTTCTGGAAAAAACAATGCTGCTTTTAAGTTCTTTTCCCCTCATCATTTCTCAGTTTGAAAACCTATGATGGTTTTCCAACTTGCTTCCTATTCAGAGTAGAGTTTCTTCCCATCCTGCCTCTCTGAGGTTGTACCAGCTCCTCTCTCCTGGTCCCACCTACTACCCACTAGGACTCTGCTGTAGCTCCCTAGCCCACTCCTGCTTGTATTCCCACCCCCTTTCCGTGAAAGAACAAAGACTGTTAAAATGCAGATAGAACTTGCTACCTCTTCTGCTCCACTCGGTACCTCACTTTGTCCTTCAAGTTCTGTCCGCCTTTTGATTTCCCTCACACGGCTGTGGTAGCTATCTAGCATTGGTCACTTGTCACTCCCTCTGCTTACTCCTTAGTTTGCCACCCCCCTTCCCCTTTTTATTACTTCATGTGACGCGGCACTGTTTTTATGATTTTTGTTTGTTTACCCCTCTAGCACCCGAGGTCATTGGAATTTGATTTGCTTGCTTGGCTCCTTGAGCCGAGGCTAGGTGTTCCTGAAGTAAGGAAAGGGAAGCCCTCTAGGAGCTCTGTGGTTACCAGCACTGTCATCGTGAGCTTTTCCTCTGGGACAGGGTTAGATTTGGACTCAAGCAAACTGTCTCTGGGGCTGTCCCACCAAAGGAGAGGCTTTCTTTGCATCTTATTCTAACTCCCTGTCTTGTCTATGCTCCTGAGAATAAGGAGAAGGGCCTGAGTAGACCTGTCTCGGTCCCACTGGGTGGCGGTGACATTAGGGACCAGTGAATCTAGATTGACCTGGGGGCAAATACTGCTTCTGATTTTTCTGAACACCTCTGACTGATTGTCTTTTTATGTGATGTTTGGGTTGATATTCAAAATTTCCATTTTTCAAGCATATAGATGACATAATATAGAATTTATCTTTGGCTTCTAGGAATTATTCCTAATTTCTCATGTATGTACTTTTTGTACTTTTCTGTTCTAGCATGTTTGAAGCCCATATGCAAAGCTACCAGGGTAATGACCCACTTGGGGAATGGGAAAGGTTAGTGTATATTTTTTTGTTTGTTTTCCTTTAAACAAAGGAACCATATGCTACCCTGTGGAATACTAATATCCATATTTTTCTAGCTTTATGAAGTGGATAGAAGAGAATTTTCCTGAAAATAAAGAATACTTGATGATATTATTGCAACATTTAATGAAGGAATTTTTAGATAAGAAGAGGTACCATAATGACCCAAGATTCATCAATTATTGCTTAAAATTTGTGAGTATAATTTCAGGTAGATAACTAAATATAATGTTTTACTTTTGGTCCCCCACCCCACCCCCACCCCCGTTAAGATCATTTTAGACTGCCTTTCCATACCAATTTCTTGTTTATATTCATGAACTTTTTTAGAAGTTACATAGTCAGAGGTATGTATTGTAGTCTTAGCTTCTGAAATATTGAGGAACCACATTTCGTATGAGGAACATGAGATAGAAACAAAAAGTTAAATGAATGGTTGGATACAAAATGTGGTTGAAGCCAGTTGTGGCTCATACCTTTAATCCCAGTACTTGTGAGAAAGAGGCAAGCAGATTTCTGAGTTGAGGCAACCTGGTTCACATAGTGAGTTCCAGGCCAGTTAAGGGTATGTAGCATGACCCTGTCTCAAAAAAAAGGAAAGGAGGAGGAGGAGGAGGAGGAGGAGGAGGAGAACTGTGCTTGAGAGAGAGAAAATAAGCAAGAGCTCTTAGATGCTAAGGTCTCTGGGAGTTTTAGCTCAGAGACGAACTGTGGTACTAAAAGGAGAAGGCCGTCCCCGGCTATAGTAGGTAGGACTCTCTTTATGTTTATATTATGGCTTCCAGGTCAGTGAGTGCATGTGATTCCTGGGTGTGGGAACAAGTATGTCTCTGACTCTTGTGCCTTCTCTTGGTTTGTCCTGTCCTACTTTGATGTGGAGTGTCAGGTCTCATGTTCAGGAGTAGCTGACCAGCAAATAATGGACTTTGCAGTTCGATGTATTCTGTTTTCTAGGTTTGGGGCGGTGGGGGGGGGGGTTGTTGTTGTATTGGGTTTTTGGTTTGTCCTGTCCTACTTTGATGTGGAGTGTCAGGTCTCATGTTCAGGAGTAGCTGACCAGCAAATAATGGACTTCGCAGTTCGATGTATTCTGTTTTCTAGGTTTGGGGCGGTGGGGGGGGGGGTTGTTGTTGTATTGGGTTTTTGTTTTGTTTTTTGAGAAAGAACTTAAAGTTGGGTAAGTAGGGAGGAGGAGAGGATCTGGAAGGATTTGGGGGAGGGGAAGAATATGGTCAAAATGTATTTAAATTTAAAAATTGTTGTAAATAATAAAAATATAACAAGCAACACATTTTAAAAAGAATTTGAAAACCAGTTAAGATTTGTACATCATGTAGTACATGTAGAATAATCCTTACTGGGAACACGTTTTTAATTAAAATGTTGTTACTAAAGTCGGATGGTGGTGGCACATGCCTTTAATCCCAGCACTCAGGAGGCAGAGGCAGGCAGATCTGTGAGTTGGAGGCCAGCCTGGTCTACAGAGCAAGTTCCAGGACAGCCAGAACTGTTTCACAGAAAAACTCTGTCTCAAAAAACCAAAAAATAAAAAAATATTGTTACCAACTGTTAAAAGAGAATAGAACTCTTCTTCAATCTAATCTGAAATGAAAGCTTAGGGCTGTGAATTCTAGTAATAAAATCATATGAAATAAAGTGCACATGAAATTGTTCCCTAAATTATAAAATACTATAATTAAAGGCACCCTGTGGAACTTGTGTAACCTCAGGTTAAGACTAAAGCAATTATTCATGTAATGAATCATTGTGAAATACTGGATCAGTATTTTGTGAAATACTTTCATAATCCTTGAATATCAAGGGAAGAGATAATTTTTAGATTTATCATCTGAAAACAACATAATGTCTTTACCTATACAATACATTCCTAGACTTTCATGAAGACTAAACAATGTAGGGCTTTCTGGGTTCTGGGACAGACTCAGCCTAGCAGTTTGGTTGTCTTGTGTATAACAGTTATTCATATGGAATAGAGTAACAACATGTAAACAGTGTATGACATTGTGATCTGAATAATTGGTATATAACCTCCAATAGTTATCATTTCTGTGTGTTGGAAATCAAAACCCTCTCTATTAGCTATTTTGCAATATAAAATTATCAACCATAGTTTCCTAATGTGGAAGATTAGAAGTCATTCTCCCTGTCTAGCTGCCCCCTCTATCCATTTACTATCTCTTTATACCTCATTGTTTTTGTGTGGTTCTGCTCTGGGTTTCTGCAGGCTGAGTACAACAATGACCTCCATCAGTTTTTTGAGTTCCTGTACAACCAGGGAATTGGAACCAAGTCATCTCCTCTGTATATATCTTGGGCGGGGCATCTGGAAGCCCAGGGAGCACTGCAGCATGCCAGTGCTGTTTTTCGGAGAGGAATTCAGAACCAGGCTGAACCTAAAGAACTACTACAACAACAGTACAGGTAGTTTCCAGTCTGTACCCACCTTTTCCTTTGTGTATATTTTGTATATCTACTTAAACTGTAAGTCATACTGTCTGTGTATTGTAGGTCTGAATGCAAGCAATAAGCTTCATGCTGTTCTTAGGGTGGTGCGTGACAGATTTTGTAATGTCACTTTAGACTGCAGAATTGTGAGGCAATACAGAATTTCACATCACAAGAAGGGCACATACAAGAGACAGAACAAATTGTCCCCTCAGAATAACCTATTAAGCCATGAATAGACTTATCCATTCATGAAGACAGAGCTCTCTTGATCTAATCACATTTTGGAGATAACCTTGGTGTGGGTGTGTGGTTTTTCAAGACAGAGTTTCTCTGGATAACAGTTCTGGCTGTCCTGGAACTCACTTTGTAGATCAAGCTGGCCTCAAATTCACGGGGATCCACCTACCTCTGCCTCTGCTTCTGCCTCCCAAGTGCTGGGATTAAAGGCCTGTGCCACCACTGCTGGAGATAACATTTTATAAATCTTCCCAATGGGGATTGAGTTTCAACATGAGTTTTGGTGACAATTCAAACCATAGTAAATACTGCATATCAACGAATACCTTGGTTTTTTGCACACATGTTTTTGTTCTGTTACTTTTCTGTTATTAAAAATGCCTCATTTAGGAAAACTTGAAAATATAGAAAACTTTTTTCTTGCTATATTACAGAATTGCAAACATGCTTTACAAAGTCTTGCTACATACATACTATATGTCAAGATCTTTGCCCCTAAAGATAATATATTTCTTACATTTATCTTGTTTTGATAGCATCTAGAATTGGAATAATTGAATAAAAGTATGTTTAAACAGTTTCAAGGCATGTGGGACATAAAACCAAACCATCTATCTAAAGATTTTCTTCTGCATTCTTATTAGACGAATTGAAGATCTATGCATTACACCCCTTGCCAGCATTCAATATACCTACCGATTTTTTTTTTCAGTTTTACTATAGTATTTGTGCTTTAAAAGAAAATTATTATGAGAATCTTCAAATTTACATAAGAAAAATCAGTATGTTTAATGGTTAACGGTTTGTTTGTTTAAAATATGGTAGCCTAAATGTATGTATATGAACTATATGTATGCCTGGTGCCCACAGAGGCCAGAAGAGGGCATTGGATCCAGTTGTGAACCATCATCTAGGTGCTGGGAATCAAACCTGAGTCCTTGGAAGAGCAAGAGCAGCAAGTGCTCTTAACCTTGATCTTTTTTTTTTTTTTTCTGTACTAATGACATTTGTTTGTCTTTTTAAATTATTTGTTTGGGGCAAGAACACCACTGCAAGTGTACGGAGGTCAGAGGTTTCTGGAAATTGAACTCTGGTGGTCACGCCTGGCAGAAGTGTTTTACCTGCTGAGTAGTCTCACTGTCCCTGTACTGATGGAGAATCTTTTCTCTCAAACACCACTGCAATCCTCTTTAAAAATGTTATCCATAGCCGGGTGGTGGTGGCGCACACCTTTAATCCCAGCACTCAGGAGGTAAAGCCAGGTAGATCTCTGTGAGTTCAAAGCCAGCCTGGACTACAGAATGAGTTTCAGGAAAGGTGCAAAGCTACACAGAGAAACAAACAAAAGTTATCTATGGACTTATTCTATGTCAACAATAATTCTATGTTAACAATACTTTAATAGTATCTAATTTTGTACCTTTTCAAACCATCAGGTAAAGTGGTTTTGTTAACCGTTAGTTTGAATTATGAAACAATCAAAATTTAGTGCTTAGGTATGCATTTCTTCTCTATACAATATACACTCTCGCTTTCATTACCCACAAATGTCAGGCTTGGGAAACTACACAATTTTTAAAAGGTCGAATTGGTATGCAAAAGTGCTATGAAATGATGTATGTGTGGATATTTTACAGAGCATGAGTGATATAACCCATTGTCTTTCAAAACAGTGGTCTAAGTTTTATACTTTGATTTCTTTGAAATATAATTTTGTTTCAGATTATAAAATATGTGAAGTAATAGTTGAAATATTTTTGAATTTTAACATCTGCAGACTTGGTTCATGGAGAAAGAAGATGCATGTGCTAGGTGAATTTGAAAAATAATGATATAAACTGTGTAAAAAGAAGACTTTTCTAATATAAATATTCCCAGAATTTTGTGTCTGAAGTTTAAAGCAACTTGAAACTCAGTTTTTCTTTTTCTGTTTTTATTGTCTGTTATATTTACTTTCCATTTCAATATAGATGTATATTAAACTGTAAGATTAAGATCTATATGTATTTTCTATTTTTAGTATATTCCAGGCACGTCTTACTGGAGCCCATTTGCAAGCTCAAGGTAAAATAATACTTTTTTAAAATGTCTAGATTGTTGAAAATTTAGTCTGTAATTTGCACTAAGTGTGTTTTGTTTTGTTTGTTAAAAATAGCCTCATGTAGTATTTAATGAAAACCAAAAACCAAATTACTGTTTTGGGTAATAGGAAAGCACTCTTGATAATAATCTCACAAAACAGCTCTGGATAGCAGAGGGGCTGTGTCATAGCACTATAATAGAGCAAACCTGCAAGCAAAACTTAATGAATCTACCTCAAAAAATAATAAGCTAATATCTAGATATAGTGTAGTGTACTCAGAAGGAAGGCTAACAGAGAAGGAACATAAGTTTTGAGGACAGCCAGAGCTACATAACAGTATACTGTCTTTTAAAAAAAAAGATTATCCCAAAGATGTTGGGGTGCACTGTATAGCATGAGTCAGTTGAAGAAAGAAGGCACTCCCAAGATGAAATTTTAAGGCCAATGTGGCAGCAGGAAGGTCCAGCCTCTTGTGATGAAATGAACCCCGAAAGCCATACAAAGGTGTGTTTATTGATTATTACACAAAGTATTTCCTCATACCAAGGTCCCCAATCTTGATTTACATGTCTTACTGAAGGAGAACATCACATGATGTTCCTGAAGCTTCTTGTAACCAAAGTTGTGGGATGGCTGCAAAGCCCCTTCAGCAAAACAACTCTACATATCACGGGAAACAATCACTATTTTCCACAAGGATTCTTCAGCATCGAAGTACTTCTAAAAAATACAGTTGTTCATTCTAATATCTGCTCAATTTCCTACAACACAAAGAGGGGATATACTGGCCTCTCCATCTGTTCAGAACTGACATCAAATAGGTGTAAATGCGACTTTTAAAAACGTGTCCTTTTCTTTTCCCTTAGAAATAAAGATCCCATTTCAACAACAGTCACTGTCATCTTGTTTAAAATAACCACTTAGGGTTTATATTCTATCCAGGTATTATCTTAACTTCTTGAGTTGGTTAGAATATTGTTTCTCAAATATTTTTCTTCACTGAAAATTAGTCCATTTTCCTTTGACAATTTAAAATGGGTTGATTTTTAAAGTAATTTTTTTATTTATGTGTTAGATCTTTTCCTTTATATGTACGAGTGTTTTGCTTGCATGTTTGTCTGCACTATATACATGGCTAGTGCCCACATGAGTCAGAAGAGGGTATCGCATTCCCTAGAACTAGATTATGGATGACTGTGAGCCATGTGAATGCTGGGAATTATACCTCAGTCTTCCAATAGAACAAATGCTCTGAACTGCTGAGCTATCTCTCTAGCTTCAAATAGATTTTATTAAATACAACATACTGAAAGAACAGTGGAATGTATTGTTTTAATTCTGTTTAATGTTACTTTTCATTTATTACTCATTTCACTTTCTTTTCCCTCATAGTTGCAACCTCAGAACCTCTGCAGAGTGCACAGATTTTAAACCAAGTCATGACAACAAAGTCAAGTCCAGGAAAAAACTCAGCCTGTGTTCCTACGAGTCTGGTAACAAGGACATTTATTTGTATGCTGTTTAGAAATCAGGGATGTTATTGGACAGCCATTCTGGCTATCTTATGTCTGCCTTTGCATCTTAACTCCATTGGCCCTGTCTCCTGTGACTGACCTCCATTTCAGCCACCACTCCATAGCAGCGCTGAGCCTTTTCATCCTCTATCTGTTCAACTCCAATATAGGTTGTTGTCAGACTTAAGGACACCTGCCTGCCACACAAACCCCTGTGTGCAGTTTCTTTCTTCCTAATATCCTCTATTTGTTCTGCTGGCCTCTTTGTAGGCCCAGGAAATTTCTATTTTGGATCACATTTGATGGTTTTTGAGCCCTGCTTTAGAAAAAACCCAGAACCTCAAACATTTATGCACATAACCTCAACCAGAGCTCTGGCACTTTTCAAGCATTTCTTCCCTATGTTCCACACCACTCTTGATATTATATGTCTCGTGTACTTACCAGTTAATTCTTTAATACCAAATTATTGTGATTTTAAACTTCATTCTCAAATTTGGGATGTGTCTATCTCACTCTCATAGCTATAAAAATAGAAATTATTTCTGCAACATAGCAGAAGATATCTTCTCATTTCCTGCTACCAACCATTACATAGGTAACTGCATCTTTATTTGCTGTTTCCCTGGGAAAAGGTAGCTTTGTACTTGTGCCTACTTTTCATCCCCCTAAATATTTTTGACCCATCTAAATCTCTTCTGCCTTGCCTACTTATAATCATAAAAATACTCCAATCTCCTCTTCAGCTTTATGTTTCTTAGCATCTTTCTCTTTCATAGACAATCATTCTTTAGGACATTCTTGTAGCTTAATCCAATGTAAAGATGTCTGTTTTACTAATGCGGCATATTCCTATGTAGAACATGCGTGTCTAACTTTGATAGATTGTACAGATTGTCACAATTTATGTCTTACAATGTTTGCCACCCTCATTCTTTCTCCTACTCTAGATTTTTACACAGATGAAATGAGTGTTACTTTTGGTCATATTCCCCAAACCTAGCTCATTGTATAATATTTGTGAAATATCAATAAATATTTGTTGATGAATAAATAATTGGGTTATTGCTACTATTGGGAACTTCTGAGAGTAAAGAAATACCAGAAGGGAATTTTAACGTCTTAAATTTAAAGTGTTTTCTTTTGGGGGACCTCAGTTTGAAAAGTTAAGTAAAAATAATGTCAATTAAAGTTCCAGCTATTAATCATGATTTCTATAAACATGGAAATCTACTTGAGATTAAGAGGCTCCTTCTCATGGAGCATTTTCAGATTAATTGTGAAGTAATTTGTGTGAAGGTTTGTCTTGGGTAAATGAGTGCTCATGTTTGTTTTCTGTCTTTTAGGGCTCAGAATGTTTTGGTGTGACACCTTCTGCTTGTGATAAAGAGTCTAATATGCAAGTACAATGAATACATTATTACTTAAGTTTTCTTCAAGTTACTTGAGTACACTGTTGTAAATGGTGTCTTTCTCCCCAGTAGGGAACAAAGAGTGATCATGATTTCAAAATCAGAATGCTCTGTCAGTTCATCTGTGGCACCCAAGGCTGACACTCAGCAGGTTGTTATGTACTGCAAGGAAAAGCTTATTCGTGGGGATTCAGAATTTTCCTTTGAAGAACTAAGGGCCCAGAAATACAATCAACGGAGAAAGCATGAAGAGTGGGGTATTTGCACTCAATATCTTGTTATATTTTGTGTCTTTTTAAAGGATGAACAATCACATAATTGAATGAAAGACAAGAGAATGAATGTCTTGAGCTCCTTCTGTCAGAAGCCTAGAAGTCTTTGTTAGACACTAGCCTAGCAGCAAGGCTTGACCATAGGCTCCACTGCTGAACTGATAACAGTTGAAACAGCACCACAGTAAGCATCCTTACTGGTGTTGCCTTTGCATTAGTGAAATAGGTAGCATTTCGCTATCATCTGTGTGAATTTGAACCTCTGTATACAGTAGTACTAAATTTGTAGAGCATTTATTTGTTCTGTGCAAGGATTTGATTGAGAACTGAGGTTCAGAAGAGATTTTCCAAGTTTGCATCTACTGTAAAAAATATGCAGAAGTAGTCTTCTGATCAGCATGCCAGGTTATTTATGTTTATGGAATAAATAATACTTTTTGTTCCTCATAAGGAAATGTGCCTTTGCACTTGCTTTTTACTATAACAACATAGAGGAAAATGAACCTTGGTTCCACTCAGGGTTTTATGTCCTCTAGGTTATTTGGACTAGATCTACTATGTGAGCCTTTTGTTCACTACCTTTTTAAAGATTATTAATTTAAAGCTATGTGTGAGTGTGGGTTGTGCATGTGAGTACAGTGTCCTCAGAGGCCAGAAGAAGTTGTGTGCTCTGATACAGGGGCCAGGAACTGAACTGAACTTTGCAAGAGCAGAAAACTCTCTGAACTGCCCATATGTTCATTATTTTTATATTTAATCAACTATAGAGAAAAGTCAATATTTGTTGGAGGGCACATTTTGAATTGTTCATGTGCCACAACATGTAGTCTCTAAGCAAACTGATTTATTGAGTGTGCCCATATTTGATTTTTATTAGAAATTTGTTTGAAGTCTAACCCTAGTACACTTTTCCCCAAAGAGGTGAGCTGCAGAGGTGGCTCAGCACTTAAGAGCTGCTAGTGCTTTTGCAAAGAACCTGAGTTCAGTCCCCAGAGGGCACGTAAGGATGCTGGGTGTCAGCACACACTTGTAATCACAGCACTCGGGTAGCAGTGGCAGCCTAGACTCCTCGGTTAGCTCCAGGCCAGTGAGAACAAAACCGAAGGGATGGCTCCTGAGGCTTTGGAGCCATATATACATACATACATATGCACATGAACACAAGCACATATGCACATATGTAAGATAAAGTGATTAGAAATAAAAATGAGTGGAAAAAATCATTGTCAAGTGTTTTGTAGCACAATATGATTGTTTTATAAGAAATGTTTAGTATTAGACTACCATTGCTGAATATTATTGATCACATAACAGGCTTTTTTTTAATATAACATATGACCTGTATTTAATAGTAATTGTGGTGAGGACAGGTAAAGATTACAATTAAAAGGTAATATAAGTTTCAGTTCTAAAATCGAAAAATATGGAAAACTTTGATTTTAAAAATATCTGTCCTAAATTGTGACCTTTTGCTCATTTTGCATGTAATACTCTGAAATTTTGAGAGCAAACCATGCTTTTTTTAATGTTTCTTAAAGTTAGTGAAGACAGACATTATTTGAAAAGGAAAGAAGCAAATGCTTTTGAAGAGCAACTGTTAAAACAGAAAATGGATGAACTTCACAAGAAATTGCATCAAGTGGTGGAGTTGTCTCACAAGGAGGACCTGTCTACTTCCCAGAACAGGCCTGAAGTATGTCCACATTCTTCACTGTTAGAGCTTATCCCTAAGACTACTAGCTGTTGCTCTCTGTGCCCTGTTTTTATAGTTATTCTAATTTAGCTAGGAATTTTACTGAGTTTTAAAATAATTTGATACAGAAAGATGTATAAAATTTGGAATGAGCTGGACTGTGGTGGTGCACACTTTTAATCCCAGCACTCGGAAGGCAGAGGCCAGCCTGATCTACAGAGCAAGTTCCAGGACAGCCAGGACTACACAGGGGGAAAAAAAAGGATGAGCAAAGAAATATAGAGACAGGGTGGAAATACTTAGCTCAACCAAGTCTCTGTAGTCGCCCAAAGTACGAGAGACCCTGAGATCTGTGGTACTTCTAATGGGGTGGTTGATCTGTGTCAGGACCATTTTCACTCTTTACTAATTTGTGAGGTGGGTCATTTAAATTACTGGTTTTGGATTTTCTTTTTTGGTTTGGAGACAGAGTCTTAATATGTAGCTGACCTGGAACTTGCTATGTGAACCAGATGGACCTTGAACTGACAGAGATGCCCCTGCTTCTGCCTCTAAAGAGCTGTGATTAATGGCATATGCCACCACATCCAGCTTAAGATGACTCTTAGAATTTGTAAGAATGCTTCCGTAAGATAAGGAATTAGCCTTTCTGTCTTTTATTACATTCTATTTCCGTGTAAATAGAAAAGCAGATATCTTAAGAGTGTGTTTATCCTTCCTCTTATGGACCATGTGCCTTTGTGGAAATTAATATAAATATATCCTATCCATTAAATACAAAAATGGCTACTAAGAAGATCTGAGTAGAGCACTGTGAAGATTTGATAACATTAATTTTAGTCTTTTCCCAAAATTAAGTAAAGAGAAATAGGACACTTTTTGTTTGTTTTGTGATTCAAGTGTCTTTTTTTATAGTTTAACATAAAAAGTAATGGGTTTCATGTGACATTGTCATACTTGGTTTCTGTTGCCCTCCTTTTCTTTTCTCTGGCCCTCCATTTCCCATGTATTCTTTTGCTCCTAGTAGTCTCCTTTCCACCTTGATCTCACTGTATCGTTTCTCACTCCTCCGTTCTTGCTTTTGTTTTACTAGACAGGATTTCACACTGGCCTAGGCTGGCCTGGAACTTGCTAGGTGACCAGACTAGCCTCAGCCTCCCTGCAGTTCTCCTGTATCTTGGACTCCCATGAACTGCTATATCCAACTGAGCTACTTATTAAATGCTGATATTATTATAGAAGCCAATTTGGTTTTCAGTGGTTTAAAGTATAAGATGCTAGGCTGGAGAGATAGCTCAGCCGGTGAAGGTGTTTGCTATACAAGCCAGATCACCTGAGCTTGATCCCAGCAACACATGTAAAAAAAAAAAAAAGCAAACAAACAAACAAAAAAAACCAGATATGGTGGCACACATCTGTAATCCCAACCCTCATACAGTGAGATGAGAGGCAGAGACAGAAATTACCTGGAAGCTTGTGAGCCAGCTAAAGTGGAATATATGGTACAGAGAATTAAGACCTTGGCCCAACAAGTAAGAGGGAGCCAGCTCCTAAAAGTTGTCCCCTGACTTACCCATGTGTATACCTATACACACATGCACGCACGCGCGCGCACACACACACATACACACAAATAATAATAATAATAATAATAATAATAATAATAATAATTTAATATAAGCTTTTGGTGTGTCCGTGTTTAAGAAACCATCGTAGAGGCTAGTCTTTTGTTGCTGTACTTTGAGAAGCTCTAATGACTGATTAGTAATATTCAAGACTTCCTAGTTTTGTTTTGTTTTATTTTATGTCTTTTTGTTCAACATGAAAGGTTAATCCAGTATGCATGGGACTGAATACATGTTCCCAGCAGGAACTGAGAGTTCCAAGTCTTCCATCCATCAATCAACAGACCTCAGAGAACTCAGGAGAGAAACCACAGGAGGCACCTTCTGTTCCTCTTATGGTAAATGCTGTTACCAGTGCTTTGATGATCCCAGCTGCCAGCCAGCCAACTCTTCCTATTCCTGTAAGTGGTCAGTCAATGACAGACTCCAGGTAAGCTAAATGTTGTTCTGGAGGTGATAGTAATGTGAATGGCATGTATAATTTCTTTTCATGATCTATAGTATGTTGTATGAATGGTTCTTGTTTTTTAAAATTTTATAAGTATGTTGAAAAGATGCAAAATATTGGCCTTGAATCTTTCAGACTTAATTCCACACTTCTTTCACAGTATTTGTTTACTTTGTACTTTTTTTCTTGAATTAGAAACTTCAGGCAGTTTCTCTGTACCTTCAGAGTAGATAGCTGTAAACTGCAAACTGAAAGTACTTACTAGCTTTGACTACATACCTGTCACACGATTACAGCACAGAAAGTTACTTGACATACGTTCTCATGTTTTCTTTGTCTTCCTTCAGAAGCTATGAAGCTATTTGAGATCTGTGCTGATGATTCTTTGTGCCAAGATGTATCTCCCAATATTCCCCAATTCTGAAGGAATTTTCTAGGTTTCAGAAATAATAATAACAACAACAAATTTCTTGTTTTACATTTTTGTCTTTGGTTATTCATTACTTGTGATTTGATAGGAATTTGTAAAAATAAAAGTCATTTGCACTTTTTTGCTTAACATTTTAATAAGGTTCTTTAAGAGAATTCTGGCAGGATTAGGCAGATGAGGTTGACTGCCACAGTGTGTTTAAAAGCAAACTGTTATGTAAGTGGTTTGCTACCTTTTCCCTTCACTCTCCTTGCTATTAATTTAAAATCTGGACATTACTAGTGGTTCCAGGTAACTAGTACAAGAAAAGTACTAGTTCCACTAACACACAGTACCTGCAACTAGGTCTTAGGCTTTCACATGCACCATAAATGAAGTGTGTTTGAATTTGGGTAGCCATTATTCTGTCTTGCCACATGGAGGAATGGTTGTTAGTGTGCTGAAATGCAGATCCAGTAGGTTCCAAAAAAACATTCAATGGTTATCTTTATTTGAAAGAATTAATATTCTCAAAGGCAAATAAATATTTCATTCACTTATACCATGACCCTAAGCAGTTTTATCCTCACCCTAACAGACTTAGCATTGTTGACAATATTTTATTGTTTCTTGAGAGTTAGTTAAAAATTCTAATGTGTAAAGTGCTTTTATTCATCAGTGTGTCTCAAGAGATTTCTCTTTCAGGTGTGTGAATCAAAGTATTCATGAATTCATGCCACAGAGTGGACCAGAACTAAAAGAAGGTAGTGTTGCATTATACTAACTTCATCCCACTTGTTTGGGTAGACTCTTGGTTTGCTAAGTGTCTGTATTGTGACTGTGTTGTAGGAAGGCTTTCCCCTTTAGAGGGTAAGAATGATGTTTAAAGCCTTAGACAATTTTTGGGCAACAATAGAAGTTCATTTATTAGTCACATCTTCCTAGTTCAGAATCCTTTGGCATTTTTCTATTAAGCTTCTCAGTGTATTAATCTGAAAGTCATAGTTAATGCGTTAGATGGGAAAGGTGATTCAAAGTTTAGTTAGTATATTATATTCTGTTTGGTACCACAGTGGAGGCATTTTCATAGAAGATAGTTTTGTCCATTAAATAATAAAGGCAGTTTGGTCATTCACTTCCTCTCCTTATGTGACTGGCATCCTTTCCACTAACAGTAGGAGCAGGACTATTTGAAATAGAGACCTATTGTACCAAGACTTTGTTCATGCTCACTAAATGCAAAGCATGTTCTAAGTGGTTAGCTAGGTAGTCATGATGAAAAAGGTGAGAATTTCCACAAGAAAAGAGCTATTATTATAGGGTGGAGAGTTAGGTTTCAAAGAAGGTGACTAGGAAGGACTGATAAATAAGCAGCCAACTTGGTGAGCCCACTTTTGGCAGAATGAATGGCAAATGTGGAGCTTTCGGGCAGCAATATTCCTGTTATGTTCTAAGCACCACAGATGTCAGTACTTTAGATGAGCACCAAGAAGAGAAGGAGAAAGAGAAATAAAGTCTGAGCAAACACCAGCTGAGTGAAATGAAAACATCCTTAAGATTCACAACATAGTAGGAAGAAATGATTTACACTCTGACCATAAGCAAGTAGCAGTTGGTGTATTGTGAGCTATGGATTTTTTTCATGACAAAACTCCTAAGTTGATGTGACCTTTATTTCTTTTTCTATAAAAGGACAATTCTTGACCTTATTTCATGGTATTATTACAAAGATTGGAAAGTTTAATCAATGATAATGGAAATAATAATAATAATTATTACTGACATTGGTAAACTTTTTAATTGTAATGACTGTAATCGTGTGCCTTCTAATGTGTTCTGAATGACATACTGATAGTACATTTTGTCCCACTCCTTTGCTAGTATGTGAAACAAATAAGGTTGCCAGCGTTAATTCTTTTCATACAACTCCAAACACATCATTGGGAATGGTTCAAGCAACACCATCCAAAGTGCAGCCATCACCAACTGTGCACACCAAGGAAGCATTAGGTAAAATATTTTGTTTATATGCATAGTGCCTCCAACAAATTAATAAAAACTGATTTGCAACCTGTTGACATGTATTTTTTCTGTTCTATAAGGTTTCATCATGAATATGTTTCAGGCTCCGACACTTCCTGACATTTCTGATGATAAAGATGAGTGGCCTTCTCTAGATCAAAATGAAGATGCATTTGAAGCCCAGTTTCAAAGTAATGATTTATTTAAAAGCTTCTCCTTAAGTTTAAGTACACATTACCACAGGAAGTTGCTATAGCCATTATCAAGATTTAGATATGGCCCTGCCTTTGAATAGTGTGCCTTGTCAGAGCAGGGAATGAATAAATTTCATTGAAAAGGTTGCAGTGCGTGTGATATTGGTTTGGGTTTTTTTGTTAAGTTGGATTTTTTTGTTATTGTTTAATAATGAGTGCTAAAGAACAAAAGCATCATGGGTAGGAACAGTCAGGAAATTAATTTCTCCACATGAGACTTAAGCACCTCCTGAGAAAGATGTCTAGGTGGAGTCTGGAGCCCAGCAGTGCTGGAAGCCAAAGATCATGACAAAGATAAGTAGAGTCTAGTGAGAATTGGGAAGACTGGAAATTAACATTCAAACATTAATTTTTTTTTTCTTAAAGAACATGAACAACAAAAAAATCCCCACAACTTTTGTTTTGTGCACTTCTGTTGAGTCAGCTCTGTAGCAGCATTATAGGAGGGCAGACACTGCACTGTTTGTGACAAGATCTCCATTGGGCCCTAACAGCTAGACCCAGTGACCTTGCATCAGTCACTTCTCACTGCAAAGTAGCTTATGTCATTACATAGGACCTAGTATTTTTTTAAAGATTTCAGTACTTTTTCTTATATGTAGCTGAAGTTGCTTGCTAAAGAATAATGCCTTTTCACAAGATAATAATGAGATGCCATTTTTGTTTTCTTGCAGAAAATTCAGTATCTTCTGGAGCTTGGGGAGTTAATAAGATTATGTCGTTGTCATCTGCTTTTCCTATTTTTGAAGATGGAAACAAAGAAAATTATGGGTAAAGAAAAGTCTATTTGAAATAAACTCAGGGGTGGGGGTGGAATACATGTCATCATGTGCCATAAGATGCTGCAGAAGGGCCTTTTAGGACTTGACATTGTGAGGCAGTAAGGAGATAGGGTGGTCTAGGTTGGAGTTCCACTAATGCCACCAGTGAGCCTCTTATGTGCTCTGCATGAGTTCCAAAACAACAGACTTCCTGTAGCAAAAGCACAGCTGAAGAAGAAATGTAATCTAGTTATAAGTTGTCAGAGAACAGATGGGTTGTCTGGATTTGAAATTCTATTAAATGTGGATGAATCTGCCTGTACATCCATAAAGTGCAGGGCCAATAAAGTAGAACAGAAAGTGGCTTATGTTGAGTAATAACCACAGAGAAAATGTTTTAAGGTAGAACAACCCATTAGCAAGATCAGGGCATAGAATGAGGTGTTTTCAGGAATCTTCACTGTAAGTTAAAACAAATGAAGCTATGTGAGTTACAGGTATCTTGGCATGGAAGAACTACATACTGAGGTAGAAAAGAGACAGCATGACCAGCTTGCAGAAGTGATATCCATATCTAGAACAGGCACCATAAATAAGACTTAAATGTTACCTGATACCCAAGACATCTTGCTGGCCAAGGTCCTTGTTTTCACTTGCTTCTTAAATTTGGAACCCAGTATAATAAAAATATCTTCTGTTACAGTTAACTCAGTTTGGAGCCAGTAATTGCTGTAAAAATAAGGAATCTCTGTAAAACCACTAACTCATTAAGTAGGATAAATGACAAATTTTTCTAACACTTTTAAGCTTATTTACTTCATTAGTATGTTTTATGATTCATAATTATACAAATCTTTCTTTAGCTTACCACAGCCTAAAAATAAGCCCGCAGGAGCCAGGACCTTTGGAGAACGCTCTGTCAGCAAATTTCCTTCAACATCAAATGTAAGTAAATATCTGCTTTATCAGTGAAATAGCTCTTAGGATGTTTTTATTTTTACCAAATGATTATGCTTATTAAATGGCATAAGGTGTATACAACTTCTGGAAAATCCAATGTTGTATGGAAAATGTATTTGTCAACAAAATTGAATTCTATAATAAGTAGAGAAAATAAAAATAATTATGTGATCCTTACTTCTCAAGAGCCATTCCTTGAGCTTGGAGGTGCCACCCAACAGTATATTTTTTTTTCTTAGACATAAGAATTGAGACCTACAATGGGATATTAGTGAGAAACCCAGAAAATTGAGAAAAATAGATCAACAGTACACCACAGCAGACAAGCTTCACCTGTTCATTGGCCCGCAGTGTTCTTGTATGTTATCAGCCATTGCATCTAGACTGTCACCATGGCCCAGAGTATTCCCATGTATGCTTTTTGTCCATACTCCACATGCCCCTGTGACAGTGGTACACCAGCAAGGATTCCTCACTGTTAACCCTTTCTGAGACATGCTGCTGAACCCTGGCTCCCTGTTTTAAGTTCATGATAAGTTCTACTGAATTAACTATTGTGAGGCTCTCAATCTTTTGATAAACTGCTTACTTAGCCTTACAATTTTCCCAAATAATGGACCGGATTTTAGATTCAGTGCAACTATTTCAAAACTACATTTTGTTGAATTATTCCGCTACATGCTTTAAAAAACAAAAAAGGTACATTTTCTATATATGCTGGTGCTGAGCAGAAACTGGAACCGTCCAGTTTTTCCTTCAATACTGGAAGGGATGGTGGAATTTATTTTTTAAAATGTGATGTATAACCTGTTTATGTGGCATTTTAAAAACTGAAGGGATTTATCAAGTTTAGTTCTCTTTCCCTACAGATTCTAAAACTTAGCCTGTAATTATGTTCTTAAAGAAATGTCTGATTCTATAGGCCATGCCAGGGCAAATAGAAGATGCGCCTGGGGTAGCCTGTGCCAGAAATTAAGGATGTGATTGTTTTGGTTTTGTGTTTTTGTAAAGTGAGGTGGGTGGCACAGGAACAAGTCAGTGATCAAACCTGGGATGATTTGAAAGAGCAAATAAGTCAAGTAATATTAAATTATAACCCAAGAAATAATGTTTGTATGAATATGTGTCCATATTTATACAGTAGGGTAGAGGGGACAAATCTCCCTTACAGAAGCATTCCAAGGAATCTAGAAGGTCACCATTAGAACACTAAGATAGTAACTGCTTATAGGCAAGGCCCGTGGATGACTACTAATGTCACTGAGAAGAAACGGTATCTGCATAGCTCCCAAGCATCTTTTCAAAATTATCAGTTACTAGACTGGTTTAACATTTCTCCGAGAGGGCCAATGAGATGGCTCAGCAGGTAAAGATATTTATCATCAGCCTGAAAGACCTGAGTTTGATTCCTGGGGCCCACATGGTAGAAAAAGAATTGACTCTCACAGTTGTCTTCTGACGTCCACATGTGAGCAGGTACATGTATGTACCAAGTACACACACTCACAAATAAGTAAATGTAGTATTTCTCCACTAATTCTTTGATGATGCCCTCTGGAAGGTAGAGTTTACTTTACCTCCCTTTCTGTATGGGCAGGTCCTGGTGATTTGCATCAAAAGAAGACAGGGGGAGAGGAAAAATAGTTTAGTGAAGAAAACCTCAGGGATACCTGGCCAAGTGATTGGGTTAACTTCACTAATAGTAAGGTGTGTTTATGACACATATTCCCAAAGTTTGATCTGATAGTCCTCTCTAAAATACATAGGCCTAGTATAGAAGCCTCTATAGTTCAGACTAGAGGCACAGTCACAGATCCTGACCTCTATTCTAAAGTATCAGTGCAAGAAAGGGTTGTTTCCACAAGTGGTTGTCGTCAGGAGCAGCTGGGTAGACAGAACAGCCATGTGTAATGTGTTGACCTATGTTGGAGATTGGGGAGGAAATAGAAAAATCAAATAAGGGCTCCAGTTACTAGTATTTTTTTTTTAAATAAACCACATTTCAGACAAGATTACCATGAAAAGGAACGTAATGAAGAAAACCAACTCTTTACTATCTCTGTAACTCTTTTCAAATTTAGTGAGTTTTTACAAGGTAAAAACATGTCCAGGTGTTATACAGCCCTGTTGAAGTTTGCTAAAATCAAGAGGTTTATATCTATGTTTCTTTAAATCCTCTTTTTTTTTTTTTTTTCAATTCAAAAATATTTGGAGTTTTGTTTGTTTGTTGTTTTAGACAGGAGGTCACTATATTGTTGAGGATGATTTTGAACTCCTAAGTTCAAGTGATCCTCTTTACCTCCTGAATTGTTTGTACTCCAGGGTTACATTAACGGCCAGACTTAAAGGGTTGATATGTCAAATTCATCAACAAAGCAGGCGTTGCTCTTTTCAATTCATCTTCTGTTGTAGGAAGTGCCTCACATTGATGAGTTTGTGGACGATTCAACAGTATGCGGTTATCGATACAACAAAACCATAGCTCCCAGTTCTAAAAGTACAGATTTTACATCTGCTCCCCAGCTTTCATCTACACCGTTCCACAAATTCCCAGCAGATTCAGTGCAGATTCCAGAAGATAAAGGTGTGTGTTCAATTATTTTAGTATCTTCTGCAAAAGTGTACTGTTTAAACTGTAAAGAATCTTAAAATCCACTTATGTGTGTATCCATGGTTTTGTTTTTGTTTTTGCTGGGGTTTTTTTTTTTTGTTTGTTTTTTTTGACATTCTGTCTTCACAGTCTATATTTTAAAATTTTAATAAATAGGTAGAAAGTGGGAAAAAAACCTTTACAGTCACTCAAAGGTGTATATCCAACAGAAGTATGTTGTATTGTGATAGCAAAGAAAGGGCTACTACAAAAAAATTAAGTTGTTTAAATATTAGAAACAATGAACATATATTAATTAGTAATGAATAACCAGTTTTTGTCCGTGAAGTATCTTATCTTCAAATTTTATCACTTTAGACATATGGACAAGTATACTATGCAGAGAAAATCACATTTTAATATTTTTATCTGATGATTTCAAGAGAGGAATTATAAAACTCCTATCAGTTCTCATTTTAATCTCATGTCTACTGTAACTTTTATATAAAAGATATACATGTGTGAGCTGTAGAGATCGCTCACCAGTTAAGATCACTGACTGCTCAGTCCTTCAGGGTTTGGTTCCCAGGGACCACATAGCGGCTCCCAACAGTCTGTAACTCCAGTTTCAGGGGATCTCATAGCCTCTTCCAGCCTCTGTAGGTACTGCATGCACAGATGCACAGATATATTGTACAAATAGAACACCCATCCACATGAAATAATTTTTAAAATATGTAAACGATCTACATTTGAATTTTTCTCCAATGTTACTACATTGAACACAGACATTAGGTACTATGTTCCCATCTAAAAGGTATAAACTGTGATGTCTGGAAGCACTGTGCCCTTTGAATAACTGTCAGTTTACTAGCTGACTTATAGCACTGTCAGGACTTTTTAGAAAGAATAATCGTTCGCCAAAGCAATACCAAGGTATTGAGATGGCTCAGCAGATAAAAGTGCTTGCTGCCAAGGCTGACAACCTGAGCTTGATCTCCAGGACCCACATGTAAGAAGAGAGAATATGACTCCTGCAAGTTGTCCTCTGACCTCCATACATATGCTCTGGTGTGTACTCACTAAAGCACACACACAAACACAATTTTAAGAACAGTAATTAAATAACTGCTGGAAAATTTTACTTCACTAGATAGAAGATATTCTAATGGGATTATGACCTAAAAACCTAAACATTAACCTCGGAGTATAAGGATATTTTCTTAGAGTACTAACCCAGTATGTTTTATTCCTTTTCTCAATCTTAGAGGAGAAGTTAGTTCACACTTGGACTATTTTTAAATGCCATCACAAGTTTGCTGCTCAAGTAAAATTTGTTTTAAGTTGTTCAAATTGAAAACTAATCCAAGAAGAGTTCTTTGAAGTGCCAATAGTTACTATTCTTAGGGTGTTTGCCACGGTGGTTCTGTAAAAAGAAGCTAATGTTCTCATATCAATAAGTATCAGTACTTGTTTATAAACAGATAGGATTACAGAGTACTAAACCACTTGGTAAAGTTTAGTCTATAATTCTGCCCCATCTATTGTCATGTCAATAAAGGTGAATTTTTTTGTTTTTAAGTTAGAAGAAACAGTGATTTAATTACTGCCAGTATCTAAATCTATTCAGTCAACTAAATGCTAACTCAACAGTTTGTTAAACTGAAAGACACACAAAACTCTATATAAAGCCCACTAGAAGGGTTGCAGCTTTTTAGTCTCCCTCTGTGTCCTCATATCAAGTTCTCCTGCCAGTGACTGTCTGTGGGCTGGTCATCCTGCCTAGAGTGGACCTGCTATTTATTCTTTGAATCCTAAGTAATTTTTTTTCTGATCATAGCACTTTTTACTATGGGGCACTGTTTTGAAGTTGTAGTGAAAATCAGTATGAAAAGGAGTTCCAGCCTTTGTGACCATATCAAATGGTGTTTGTGTCTACATGTGTATGTAATATGTCTGTCTATGATGTTTTTATATTTCAGAAAATGTGGTAGCCACACAGTATACACATATGGCTTTGGATTCTTGTAAAGAAAACATGGTGGACCACTCAAAAGACAGAAAGCTTGGGTATTGTGTTTGTCACTCTCTTCTTCCATTGCTTTTTAAGATAGAGTATTATACTGTATTCAAATGTGCTAAGGCTAATAAGATTTTATTCAATGGTAGCTTTAAGTCAGAAGGTAATTATTTGTTAATGTAAACACAGTGATGAATCTAAGCACTTGGTATATCAGGGCAATTAGAGAAACAGCTTGGGTAACAGATCCCTGAGCTAACATTTTCTGAAATTCAATCCAGGATTCAAGCTATGAATCCTCTTTTGATGGGTCAACTGTTGCAAAACTAAAAAAACACATAATTTGTGCTTTGCACACCCATTTAATTGAGAAAACCAGTGCCTCTTACGAGAAGATGGGATGTTTAAGCCTCTTTAGGTACTGCTGCAAAAGTAAAGTTCCATTGTATTTGATTAGGCTGGTGCATGTAACAGATACATACATTATAATGCAGGCACGGTGTTTATGCTTTCTATGTGCTGTGTCCTCTTAATCCCTGCAATAACTTGAGTTGTGACCGTTACTCTGTTAAACCCTTATTATACATGAGGAAATCAGGTCTCAGGGACAAAATACTGATCTAAAGTCATAGAACTTCTAGTTTATGGAATTGCTGAATAAAAGCACATGAGTTCCATGATACCATACCACACACACACACACAAAGACAGCTGAGAGCTGAAGTAATAAGGTAGAATATCACCTATTTGACCTGAACCAGGACTGACAGTTTTTCATTGTGCTGTAAGCTTGCAAATGACAGCAAAATCACATAAGTATTAATGTAGATTTTACAAATTTAGCACATAGGTGAAATCACAACTATAAAATACATGAATGAGAATCCTCATCATGTGTGTGCGTGCGTGAGCTGAGATATTGTATCAGAATCTTGTTGGATTATGATGATATTTTGTTTGTCTTAGTGTTGTAAAATAACCCATTTTTAGAATGAAAAACACTCAAGTCTTGATTACAGTAGTGCTATTTAGATGTAGCTTTGGGGGAAAAACTCATTCCTCCCTACAATTCCTATTAAATACCAAATATATCACCTTACCTGTTTACCTAATACATTAAATGGCTTTGGTTTTATTTCTGTTCATATCTTAGTAGCTTGAGTATTTACACATATTTGTTTAATGAAAGTTATTTGATCAACTCAACCTGTGAGATAATTTTGAATAGTGTTCTTAGAATGAAAGGAAGCTATTTTATTTTGATCAAATCTAATAGGCTTCTAATCACGTGAAGTTTTTGTTTTCTCTTTTTTGCACATCCAGTCCAATTCAGGAGAAATTTTCATCATCTTTACATTATCCTAGCCAGCCTGCCACAGGTGGTGTACTCACGCAGGAAGCAGTGTTCGGCCTTGAGGCTTATAAATGCACAAGCACTGACCTTGTGCCCATGGAGGACCTACCAGATGCCAGCGCTGGGCTCCAAGTTGAATGGATGCAGACTAGTTCACTTGGAAATGTCAATGCTCCAAGTATGCACACATGCTCAATCTTAGTTATGCCATAAGAACAATAGCATAGAAAAGCTATTCCATGAAAGAACTGAGTGGGGAGTAAATATACTTAATAGAAAATAAACTTAGACAAACTTGTAACTGCATCACAAAATAATTCACTACTAACACATTTGAGATCAGTCAATCCATTTTAATCTTGAAAGATACCAAGATCGCTACTGTTAAAGGCGCACGCCTTTAATCCCAGCACTTGGGAGGCAGAAGCAGGCAGATCTTTGTGAGTTCGAGTACAGCCTGGTCTACAGAGCAAGATCCAGGAAAGGCGCAAAGCTACACAGAGAAACCTTGTCTCAAAAAAACAAAAAAGAAAAGAAAAAGAAAAAGAAAAAGGAATTAGGGGTCTGGAGAGATGGCTCATTGGTTAAGAGAACTGTTGACTGCTCTCCAAGAGGACCCAGGTTTGGTTTTCAGCACCCACATGATGGCTCACAACCATCTATAATTCTAGTTCCAGGGCATCTGAAACCCTCTTGTGATCTCTCTGGGCACCAGGTATACACATAGTGCACATATACACATGTGGGCAAACACACATATAAATAACTCTTTCAAAAAAAAAATTTTTTTTTAAAGAGTTCAAGGTTGAGAGTTTACTATGTGTCAAACATATAATCTAATGTTACCCTCACCCCTGTATGTGACAGAACATCAGTCAAGACTGAATATTAAGAGGTATCTTCCTCTGTCCCTTATACAGAAAGTCTTGCATAGTGATTGAGAACATAGAATCTGGAAATAGACTAAGTTCTAAGCTCCAATTCCCATCTCCCCAACCAAGTTTATGGTGCTCCTGTTTAAAGTAGAGGTCAGTTGGAGGATGACTCAGGGATTAAGAGCACTGGCTGCTCTTCCAGAGGACCCAGGTTCAATTCCCAGCACCCACATGGTCTCACAACTGTCTGGGACTCCAATTCCAGGGGATCTGATGCCTTCCCATATACATACATGCAGGCAAAAAAATCTATACATGTTAAAAAATTAAAATAAATATATCTTAAAGTGAAGGTTATAGTATACCTTAGAGACTTACTGTAAGAACTAAATGAGTTAATAAATCTCAGAACTATGTTCTGTTTATACTAAGAAAGTAGTTTCCATGTTGGAGAGTAGCCTTTTCAAACCACCACTGATAGAATGTTTTATAATACGAAATTGGAGACAAGGCTTTGTCTTCCTTTAGGGATTGTTTTCTCTCTTGTGTACACAGTATTCTCATTCATGCAAATTGTATGTAGGTAGTGTACTTTGTATATTAGTGGGGAAGCAGTAAAAGAGTATATGTCTGAGCACTAGAAGCAACTAATTAATAGTGTCCAAGTGTACTTAAAGGCATGCAGCTTTAATTTTTGAAGGCACGAATCCTGCAACTCCAGATGAGTCAGGAAGCAGCTAGTTGATTCCCTTTATCACAAAGCATAGTCACCTAAATTTGTAGACCTAAAGGGACAATAATGACAGAACTACCATTTTTAGTTTCTTTTATTATTGAATCAGTGCTCTACATAGGGTAAGATTTTGAAAGCTTATTTAATGAATATCTTTACTTATTTATCTAAAATTTCTGTTGAAATATTTGAATGCTGAATTTATTTCTTTTTTATTTTTCCTATTTAAGACTTTACTATTGAGAACCCATGGGATGATGAATTGATTCTTAAACTTCTGTCTGGGCTATCTAAACCAGTGAGTTCCTATTCAAATGCTTTTGAGTGGCCATGTAAACTTCCAGCCATCAAGCCCAAGACAGAATTCCAATTGGGTAAGAATTTTATGGATAATAGAACTTTGAATTCTTGTTTGTGAGAAACTGATAGTAACTCTGAGATTTCCCTACCCTTTCTGCCTTCAAGAAAGAATTAATATCTACAGTATTGAGAAATTTTGTTAAGCTGTGATAGTAGAATTTTGATTGCTGTTGGGACTTTAATTTGGCAGTAATCTATCAGAGTTAAAAATACATGTACTCAGCCAGGCAGTGGTGGTGCACACCTTTAATCCCAGCATTCAGGAGGCAGAGCGAGGCCGATCTCCTGGTCTGCAGAGCAAGATCCAGGATAGGCACCAAAACTACACAGAGAAACCTTGTCTTGAAAAAAACAAAAAATAACAAACAAACAAACAAACAAAATATGTACTCCAGGCTGGAGAGGTGGCTCAAAGGCTAAAAGCACTTTCTGAACCGGGTGGGGTGGCACATGCCTTAATCCCAGCACTCAGAAGGCAGAGGTAGGCAGATCTTTGTAAGTTTGAGGCTAACCTGGTCTGCAAAGCAAGTTCCAGGGCAGCCAAAACTGTTACACAGAGAAACCCTGTCTTGACCACTACCAAAAAAGACCACTTTCAGGAGACCTCAGTTTGGTTTTACCCATGTTTGGGTTCCAGTACCCATGTTGCGCAGTTCACAACCACCTAAATCCAAAACTCTTCTGATATACAAAATTGGCCTAACCATTCTAAACTATTACAAATATTAATAAAGTTATTATATGTCTTTTTTATTCTCCTGTAAAATATGTATATTCTCCAAAAAGCATTACAGATTTCTACATAGTCTTTGTAATACCTCAACAGTTGTACAGAGCAGACAGAACAGGTAATGGAAGGGCCAGGACCCAAGGCCACACATATAAGTATACTGGGCCATCAGAGCTGCCCTCACCCCGCCGTTATGGAGAATTTGTTAAGGAGGCTCTTTCATGACAGGTATATGGTTTACTTTATTTAGGTCTGGGAAAACTTCCCCAGATCATACCCATTTGTATTTATTAAAGTAGTTCAGGTACCAGGAATTCTTCACTTTGATAGTCCTTATGGCTTTTTGTCAATTTGACATCCTTATCTTCCAAGGTTCTTTGCTGGTCTATGTCAATCACCTTCTTGGAGAAGGGGCCTTTGCCCAAGTCTATGAAGCTATTCATGGAGATATGAAAGATACCAAAAGTAAACAGAAATGTATTTTGAAGGTAAATGACCTGAGTAACTTCTTGTATAATGTAGATGTGAATTTTAGAAGTTGTGATCTTCCCTTACCTCCTCCCCTTTAAATACTGATGTCAATGAGGCCTCAGTCAACAGTTAAACACAGCTATCCTATGAAGACTCAGAATTGTCTTACCACTAAGATTATCCTGCAAGCCCTATACTGCTGACCAGCCCTTAGCTTGTCCTCGAGTTTTGTCACATCCTTAACTGGGAGGAGTTGCTTTCTTGCTATTCTTTTACAGAATATGGATAAGGATATGCATATCACATCCCTGATTTGATTTGCAGGTTCAGAAACCTGCCAATTCCTGGGAATTCTACATTGGGATGCAGCTGATGGAGAGGCTGAAGCCAGCAGTGCATCACATGTTCATCAAGTTTTATTCTGCTCACGTATTCCAGAATGGCAGCATATTAGTAGGGGAGCTCTACAGCTATGGGACGTTACTAGTAAGTGTCTAATTTTCATGACATGAACATGAAATGCGTGTGCATTTCTGGTTTTTACCTGTACTAGTTTTCACAATTGGAACATTTATTGGAATAGAAAGCAGGTATAAAGCCCTTGACTTGAAATTTCATTAATCCTCTACAAATCCATTATTTCTAGAATGCCATTAACCTTTATAAAAATACCCCAGAAAAAGTGATGCCCCAGGCTCTCGTCATCACTTTCGCTATCAGAATGCTTTACATGATTGAACAAGTCCACAGCTGCGAAATCATTCATGGAGACATTAAGCCAGATAACTTCATACTAGGACACAGGCAAGTGTGACACTCTTGTGGAGTTCTTCCCTAACATCTCACTGCTATCCTTTTGTTATTTGTGCTCATGGATCCTGGTCCTTGTTTGTATTTAATGTAGATTTTTGGAGCAGGATCATGAAGACTTGGCTACTGGCTTGGCACTGATTGACCTGGGTCAGAGTATAGATATGAAACTTTTCCCTAAGGGAACTGCATTTACAGGAAAGTGTGAAACGTCTGGTTTCCAGTGTCCTGAGATGCTCAGTAACAAGCCATGGAACTACCAGGTATGGAAGGAAAGCAAGAGGTTTGGAAACATGTTCTTTATTACACCTACCAGACTTTCAAAATGAGTTTAGAGCTCCAGGTAGTTTGAACTGGTCACTTGGGCATTGAAGGAAAAGTAGAATGTAAGGCTGAAAGAGGAAGAAGAAATTCTACTTTTGAAGAGTCTTCCTCTCTTAGTACAGAGTCTGTCAACAGAGCAGAAAAGCAAATACATTCTGTGAGATAGTTTCAGAGTTTTTAACAAAGTAGAATATTAGTTGGCAAGTAAAGGGGATACTACTAATTAGGGTAAATGTAAAGATTTTGAGCCTGGGTTAAACCAACTGCCTAGTTTCCAAATAAGAGCTGTGGCTTCCAAAAGACCATAATAAAATGGGGGGGGGGGGGCTTATATCTAGTCGGTTACTCCCAGTAAGGCTTCAGGTAGATGAATGCTGATCTGGGAGTGGATTGTAGATAGTTTGCTATCCTATAGATTTGGACCACACTAGAACGTTCTTTTCTATTATGAACACATCACACAAAGGCACTGATGTACAATACCACCAGAGTCTCAGGAGATAAAATTGGAACAACTGCCAGGCTGAGAGATTATTGTGTTTGCACCAAGTGATAGAACAAAGGACTTGAGGAGGACATTATTTAAATGAAGATAGAGCTTCCCAAAGGGTTACCTCAGAGGCATTAGTGTTTTGTGTTCATAGAAGCCTCACTGAAAGCTTGGATAAGCGCTCAGAGAAGCAAATCACTGGATTTGAGAATTCTGCAAATGTAAAAACCCTGTGGTTATTGAGCTTTAAGTTAGAGACGTATTTTAATATACTCACATATAAGTTACTGTTTACATTGCATATATCTATGTTCTTCATAGGTTGATTACTATGGAGTTGCTGCAACAATATACTGTATGCTCTTTGGGACTTATATGAAAGTAAAAAATGAAGGAGGAGTCTGGAAACCTGAAGGTCTTTTTAGAAGGTAGGTTATTGGCATTGGTGCTACAATAAAAAAAAAATAATAACAGCAAAATAGTAAATTTTTATCTAGCCAGAAAATGAACCTGGGCAGTGTGGTAACAGCATACTCCTGACATTAGGCACTGAGCAAATCTAGCATTTAATGCCTTGTGAAACCAGTGAGAGCTCCTGGCCATGTGGCTTAGCATCCTGTTCTTGACTATTTCTCTTTACTATAAATGAAGTCAATGTTGGTGAGCCTTGGGGTTTTGTTTGCTTGTTTTCTTCTTTATGTAAATGGAAATGCTTTATGCAAATGGGAATGATGGTTCTGCTTTGCTCAAATCTTATAAGCAAACAAAATAATATAGGTGAAGCTGTTTTGTAAATTACAAATAGAATGGGGTAACTTCTATTACAAGACAGGGTTTTAAACTCCAGCCCTATGTGACTTTAGTTTATAAAATACTTGAAGGTTAGTGACTGGTCTGGAGCTTATCATGTCAGCATTGTCCCTAAAGTAACACTGTAAACATAACTCTGTGGTATTGAATTGAAGCTGATTATTCTATGCAACTATGTTTCCATATACAACATTAACTTTTTTGAAATATAAAGACATTTACAGAAAAAAAAAAAAAGCCACTCATATGTTAGCCTAATGGAATTTACATGAAAATTCTTGAAAAAATTTAGACTGAGGTTTCTCTCATTCTCCCCACCCACTATCAAAGCAGAAAAGGGAAAGCGTTTGCAGAAATTTTATAAACATCATGTACTGTAGATTCAGAACCCAAAAGAAAACTTAGTTGTTTTTTATTCTTTATAGAGCCATCCAGTTCAGCAAGTACTTTATTTCATTCACTTTGTTGTTTCCCTTGCCCATTGTCAAAGGAGCAGAGCGTTCAGAAGGCTTCTCTCTATAGCCAGTAGCATAAAAAAAGCCCAAAGTTTTCTTCTCGGTTTCCATGTCCAGTGAGATTTCAGTGTGTCTGTTTTCTCTCCAGGGCCTTCTCTCCCTGTTTTGGAGGGGTTTTTTTGTTTTTTTGTTTTTGTTTTTTTTTTTAGTTAACTTTAACTACTTACTATAAGTGGCTAAGACCCTTAAGTGTAAGCTCTATCCTAAAGAGCACAGCCTATCTCTCCAAATATCTTGCCATGTATGCAGTTAGGCTTATCAGAACCACATAATTAGATTATCAGATTCTGGCATTGTGGTGTACACAGGAAACAAAAGAAGACAGATTTTTCTTTAAAAGGTGATTTTTCTACTGAAGAACTATTGCTAGAAGACTTTTAAATCATGTTTTTAGAACGAGGTATATTTAGACATTTGGTTGGATTTTTAATTCTTCCTGTTTGTGATGGTTCTTGGTTTGCTAAGACACAAATGGGCAAGAGCTGTTTTTTTTTAACATGTCCACACCTATGGGAAATAGATGCAGGAACAGATTGTGCGTGTGTTCAAAGTTGCATTTTTTCCATTGTGATACTTTGTCTCTTCAGGCTTCCTCATTTGGATATGTGGGAGGAATTCTTTCACACCATGTTGAACATACCCGATTGTCATCATCTTCCATCTTTGGATTTGTTGAGACAAAAGCTGAAGAAAGTATTTGAACAGCAGTATTCCAACAAGATTAAGACCCTGCGTAATAGGCTAATTGTGCTGCTCTCAGAATATAAGCGGTTGAGAAAATAAAATACGGATATGGACCTTATCCAAAAAAACACTTTGTAAATTTAAAACTCCCTCCCATTTTGAATCCTATTTTTTTCCACACTTTTATTTATGTATGTATGTTAAAAAATAAAGCCCATAAGATATATCCATGTGACCTAGTTGTTATAAATAGTCTAACAAAACGACAAAGTAAGAAGACCCATGTGAAGCAGGCTAATCAGTTGGGTTGCTCTTTGTATACAAGTTTTTATGAGAATGATTCAAATTTTAATGCTTTCTAGACATCACCTTCCTAAACACTGACCTATTTAAGTCCAAAGTAGGCCAAAAAGACTTAAATTTTATGTTTAATTAGCATATGTAGGATTAGGTTTCCTTATGGCACTTTCAGACAAAATTTGTTTTTGTTGATTTTTCTCCCCCATCCTTCTGACCCCTTTGTACTTTTCTTTTTTAAAAAATATTCTTTAAAAAAAAAAAAAAAGACTTATTTATTTATTATGTGGGTGCTGAGAATTGACCTCAGGACCTCTGGAAGAGCATCCAGTGCTCTTACCCTCTGAGCCATCTCTCCAGCCCACCCTGCTTTGTACTCTTAACACATCCTCCCCCATAGCTTACTTTCTGCTTCCATGTCTCATCTGTCCATGTCCCTTCCTCCTTCCTCAACATATTTTTTCCTTCTCAAGGTCTTTTTAGTTTCATAGCCTACTGTTACTGTTGACTCCACTTATATGCATGTAAACATTGTAAGTTAGGGTCTGCATATGAGAGAAAACATATTTTGTGTTTTTCTAACTTGAGTTATTTATACTTTCTAACTCCATCTATTTTCATACAAATTTCATGATGTACATCTGAATAGAATTCCATTCTGTATGATACCACATTCTCATTACATAGCCATCAGTTGATAGACATCTCCGCTGGTTCCATTTCCTTGCTGTGGTGAAGAGAGGGGCAATCAATATGGATGATCAGATTTCTCTGGTAGAATACTCAGGAGTGGGATAGCCAGGTCATAAACAGTTCTGTTTTCACTTTTTTGAGAGACCTCCACACTGATTTCCACAGTGGCCACACAGCGTTACATTTCAACCATTTCATCCTCACTAGCATTTTGTCTCTTGTTAGTGGTAACTGTTCTGATGAGGGTGAGAGACTCAAAGTAGTTTGGTTTGGCATTCCCTCATAGCTAAGAATATTGATGCTCTCTTATAAGTACTTGAAAGCCATTGCTACTTCCGAGAACGTTCACGTTAGCCCATTTATTGACTGGCAGATCGTGTGTGTGTGTGTGTGTGTGTGTGTGTGTGTGTGTGTGTGTGTGCGCGCGCGCACTTAGTTTCTATTATTCTTTGAATATTCTATATATTTACAGTGAGAGAAAGTTTTTCCCCACTGTGTAAGCTGTCTCCACTCTGCCAATGTCTCCTTTCCTATGCTACTGGAGTTCTATTCAGAAAGGTTCTGCCTACATCCGTGTGCTGTTCTTCTTTTGCTTTGCTTTGCTTTGCTTTTGGTTTAAGATAGGGTCTCCTTAAGTACCCTTGTCTGGCTTGGAGCTCCTAGAGATCCGCCTGCCTCTGCCTCCCAAGTGCTGGGAATGTCCACAACTAGCTCCCGTAGTCGTTATGCCGGGGTCCACAAGGCCTTGTTCCTGTGCCGCTGCCATCTGACGTCAGGCTTTTGACTCATTGGTTTGGCGGGTAAATTGTATTTCCCTGTAGTCTTAATTTGCATTTCTCTTATTGATTAGGCCAAATATATCCACTTTTTTTGGGGGGCGGGGAAGCTAGACTTGTGTTCTTTTTTAGTGAACCCCCATTTGTCCATTTTCTGTATGTTCTCTTTCCTTTTGTAAGGCTTGTATGTAACTTCAAATTATTTATCCCAAATGAACTTAGAGTTCTGCTTTATAGACTGATTTATAGTCTTTTTATTATTATTAAGAAATTTTCTTTTCACTTTACATACCAACCACAGATATCCCCTTCTTCCCTCTTCTCCCTCCCCCCCAACTCACCCCCCATCCCACATTTCTCATGGGGAGTCAGGAGAGCCTGGCACACCTAGCTGAGGCAGGTCCAAGCCCCTCCCCGCTGCACCAAGGCTGTATAAGGTGTCACACCCTAGGCACTGGGCTCCAAAAATCCTGCCCATGCACCAGGAACTGATCCCGATCCCCCTGCCTGGAAGCACCCGCAAACAGTTCAAGCTGAACAACTATCTCCCATATCTAGAGGGCCTAGTCTAGTGCTATGGGGCTCCATAGCTATTAGTCCACAGTTCATGTGTTTCCACTAGTGTGGCTGGTAATTCTGCACGTTTTCCCATCATGATCTCGAGGTCCCCTGATCACAGAATCCCTCCTCTCTCTCTCATCTATTGGATTACTGGAGCTCAGCCTGGCGCTCAGCTGTGGATCTCTGCATCTGCTTCCATCAGTCACTGGATGAAGGCTCTCTTAGTCCAATCAGGACTAGCCTGATTTATAGTCTTATATGGCATTTGACTTTTATGTCTTAAACAATTGAAAAAAGGCCCTCTAGGTTTTTGTTTTTTGTTTTTTTTTTTTTTTCAAAAACTAGTACTAATTTAAATATTTAGGACTATTTCCTGGTTATTGTTTTTTTTTTATTAAGAAGAAGTTTTCATTCATTTTACATACCATCAAAGATCCCCCTTTTCCCTCCTCCCGTCCCCCAACCTCCCCTGCCCACTCCCCCCAACAAGAAAGCAAGTTCTTCCATGGGGAGGCACATCCAGTAGAAGCAAGTCCAAGCCCTTCCCCTGCCTCAAGACTGCAAGAGGTGTCCTATCATAGTGGTTGTTTATTTTAAATCAGCCCCCTCCACATGCTAATTTTTTTTTAAGCTGGGAGTTTGAAAATATGAAGCCTGTTGACTTCAGCTCACTCTTTGAAGTTTCCATATTACTTTTGGTTTGGGTTTTGGTTGGGCGGGTAGTTTTTTTTGTTTGGTTGGTTTGGTTTTTGTTTTAGTGTTTTGTTTTTTGTTTGTTTGTTTGTTTGTTTTGCTTTTTCAAAACAGGGTTTCTCTGTGTTGCCCTAGCTGGCCTGGAATTCAGAGATCCACCTACCTCTACCTCCCAAGTTCTGAGATTAAAGGTGTGTGCCACCATCACCCATTGCCATATTGCTATCTTTATGAAAGCAGCGTGTATTTGCGTCATTCCTGTTTTTGCTGTCTTTGTGTTAAAGATTGAAAATGATGTGCTACTGGACATTCTTCTGCTTCAGTGGGGACACTTCCAGTGTTTATCTGTTAAACTTCATGATACTCTCCTGATATGGCTATTTTAAATTATGTTACTATCTATTGACATTGTTGGTTTTCTTGCCCCAATTTCCATCTGTATTGATCCAACTGTATATGCTAACCCTCTCTATTAATGACACGTAATTGGTTTCACACTTGCATTGCTATAAAAAGGTAAGTAGGGGAGATTCCCAAATAGGTATTTATTTTGAAAACAAAACAAACCATCCTGTCCTGGATTGTATCAGTCAAGGCAATGATTCAAACACATGTTTTCTTAGGCCTATAGAAAAGCCTTCTCCATCTTATTGTAACTGCCAGTGTATTTTAAATTTGCCTTGATTTATGACTTTCTTTGTTCTGTAAAACTATAAAACTTAATGAAACTGCTTCCACGTTGGAACACGGAGTTTAGAGTAACCTAAGTCTGCGTCCCCAGGCCATGGTCACTCATAATGGCTCCAGAATAAACTCTGACTTCCTTTAACGTGAGAGCTGTGGTTATTGCATTGACACTAGTAACTTGGAAGCTGATTGATTACATATTGACATAACATGTGTGCTGAGATAAACAAAATGTACTACTAAAGGCAATTCCGTCCCCATTCGTTCATTTAAAATGTATTATTAAAAAATTTCTCTATTCGTTTATTGTTTTAAAATCAAGTTACCAGAAAGCTTAGTTATTCAGCTGCTAAGAAAAACGAACAGGAGTAGATGATACCAACTCAGCTATGATGCAAGGCAATGTCTAATGTCAAACAAAAAATGCGAAGCCTATCCAGAAATCAAGACAGTCTTGCAGCAATGGTAAGACTGTACTGGTCAGTTTCTCCCTGACCCAAGAGCCACAGGACGCTGCTCCCTTGCCTCACGCATGCTCGGGGCGGGCCCTAAGTGGGCGCTGAGACGTTTGATCCTTACGCCTTTCCGTACTCCACTCTACGTACCCGGTGGCTGCAATGGCGGACGTATCCGAGAGGACGCTGCAGGTGTCTGTGCTAGTGGCTTTCGCCTCTGGAGTGGTCCTGGGCTGGCAGGCGAATCGGCTGCGGAGGCGTTACCTGGACTGGAGGAAGCGGAGGCTGCAGGACAAGCTGGCGACAACTCAGAAGAAGCTGGACCTGGCCTGAGCGCGTGCCGCGGCCGGAGCCCTCCGGATCCTCACTCCCCACGCCCCACGCAGCACGGATCGGGTGAGCCGCTCGACTGCACGCCCGGGGGAGTCCTGAGTCGCCTTTGCACGGCTTCTTTGCACGGCTTGCAGGAACGTGGCTTGCACCTAGAGCTCAGAAAAGTTTTGTCTTCTCTAGTTACTTACTCTTCCGGTGTTACGGCTCAGTTTAATGGAATGTTTGACCACGTGCGATAGAATTGCACCTTAACATTTAACTTCGAAATGGAAAACACTGGACAGAAAAAAGGGGGGGGGGGGGGGGGGGTGACCACGTGCGATAGAATTGCACCTTAACATTTAACTTCGAAATGGAAAACACTGGACAGAAAAAAAAAAGTGGGGGGCGGGGAGGAGAGAAGGAACTGTGAAGTATTTCATGCCCCAGCCCCCAAGTTCTTTTTTTGTTAGTTTGGTTGGTTGGTTGTTTTGTTTTTCGAGACAGGGTTTCTCTGTGTAGCTTTGGCACCTGTCCTGGAACTCTGTAACCCAGGCTGGCCTTGAACTCACAGAGATCCGCCTGCCTCTGCCTCCTGCATGTGCTGGGTGGGATTAAAGGCATGCGCCGCCTGGCCAAATTAATTTTTAATAGACCCATTGTAGAGCTATGGCTTTGATGTTTCTGCAAACTTCAATTCAAAGTTAAGTTTTTGGTAGCCAGATAGAGTAGAAAAAGTAGATGTTAGGAGC